GGTTAGTGTGTAGGGTTGTGGTCAGTAGTTAGGGTTATGGTTAGTGTGTACCGTTGAGGTCAGTAGTTAGGGTTAGTGATGATGACTTACCAACAAGCAATGCCACCGTGATGCCAGTGATGCGTTGCTCCTTCACCTCCTCGATCCTGGGGGTCTCTCCGGGAGCTGTACTCTTGCTCATCACGGTAAGGGCATTGACGTGGGCGATTGTCCGTACGGTAGCACCTGTCTGCCACGGGAGCCCGAAGATGCCACAAAAGCCACCGGCCAAGCCGATTAGCAGCAGGTCCAGGTGGAATCCAGACCCTTTGACCAGCCGCCGCTCCTTCTTACTGACAATGAGACTGAGAAGGGGGAAAACTGCCTTCAGTTCATGGGATTAGCATCCACACAACTTCCGACCCCTCCACACGCAAACTCTCATACATCGTCACTCCACTCCACTGGGTCTGGGTGGAGCGAACTGTCGGAGGGTCAGTACTGAGGGAGTGCCGCACTGTCGGAGGGTCCGTGCTGAGGGAGTGCCGCACTGTCGGAGGGTCAGTGCTGAGGGAGTGCCGCACTGTCGGAGGGTCAGTGCTGAGGGAGCGCCGCACTGTTGGAGGGTCAGTATTGAGGGAGTGCCGCACTGTCGGAGGGTCAGTACTGAGGGAGAGCCGCACTGTCGGAGGGTCAGTGCTGAGGGAGTGCCGCACTGTCAGAGGGTCAGTACTGAGGGAGCGCCGCACTGTCGGAGGGTCAGTATTGAGGGAGCGCCGCACTGTCGGAGGGTCAGTACTGAGGGAGTGCCGCACTGTCGGAGGGTCAGTGCTGAGGGAGTGCCGCACTGTCGGAGGGTCAGTACTGAGGGAGCGCCGCACTGTCGGAGGGTCAGTACTGAGGGAGCGCCGCACTGTCGGAGGGTCAGTACTGAGGGAGCGCTGCACTGTCAGAGGGTCAGTGCTGAGGGAGCGCCGCACTGTCATAGGGTCAGTACTGAGGGAGTGCCGCACTGTCAGAGGGTCAGTGCTGAGGGAGTGCCGCACTGTCGGAGGGTCAGTACTGAGGGAGTGCCGCACTGTCGGAGGGTCAGTACTGAGGGAGTGCCGCACTGTCAGAGTGTCAGTGCTGAGGGAGTGCCGCCCTGTCGGAGAGTCAGTACTTAGGGAGTGTCGCACTGTCGGAGCTGCTGTCTTTCAGACGTTATATCTTTCCCTCTCGGGTAAATGTAATTATTCTATGGACAGTATTTTGAAGTACAGTGGGGCTCCTCTTCCCAGTTTGCCCTCAATATGCATCAAAAAATAGACTATTCGGTTATGAATTTTATTATTATCTCTGGATCCTGATTAGCAACAGCTGACAACATATTCCACTGAGTGTGAAGGAATTTATCGGAGGTCCTAATGTTTTGAAAAGTTCTTTAAAATGTCACCCTTTTTGTTATTGTGTCAACGTCAGGCAGACTGAGCAGGTGGTGCTGAGACACAAGACCTCACTGTTGAACACACTCACCTATCGACCCAGGTCAAAACTACCCCCAGTCGTCCAGGTGAGATTCAATTTTACATCCTAGGAACAGGCCCCTTGAGTCTGTTCTGCCATTCGATGAGATCAGGGCTGATCTGTGGCCTAATTCCATCTACCTGCCTTTGGCCCATATCCCTTAATACCTTTGCTTATCAAAAAAATTATCTATCTCTGATTTAAAATTAACAATTGATCCAACATCTACTGCCATTTGTGGAAGAGAGTTCCAAACCTCTACCACCCTTTGTGTGTAGAAGTGCTTCCTAACATCTCTCCTGAACAGTTTGACCCTAATTCTCAGGCTATGTCCCTAGTTCTAGAATCCCCAACCTGTGGAAATAGTTTCTCTTTACCTGCCCTGTCTTTTCCTGGTAATACCTTGAAACTTCGACCAGATCACCCCTTAACCTTCTAAATTCTGAGAAAAAAGCCTCATTTGGATAATCTCTCCTCCAGTCTAACCCCTGAAGTCCAGGTATCATTCTTGTAAACCTCCCTTTGTATTCCCCCGAGGCCAATATATCCTTCTTAATTAAATAAAACAAAGAACAGCAGATGTTGACGACCTGAAACACAAACAGAAATTGCTGGAGAAACTCAGCAGGTCTGGCAGTATCTGTGGGAAGAAAGTACAGTTAATGTTTCAAGGCCAGTGACTCTTCATCAGAACTGATCAATTTTCTTCATCATTTCAGATAAAGAGCCACTGGACTTGAAACAAATACCTTTCCTAAGATGTGGTGCCTACATCGCAGGGTTAGAACATAGAACATAGAACAGTACAGCACAGTACAGGCCCTTCGGCCCACAATGTTGTGCCAAACTTTTATGCTAAACCTAAGGTCTATCTAACCTCCACCCCTACCTTATACTATCATCCATATGCCTATCTAATAGCCGCTTAAGTGCCCCTAATGAGGCCGACTCCACTACCCTCTCCGGCAATGCATTCCACGCCCTGACCACTCTCTGAGTAAAGAACCTACCTCTGATGTCTCCCCTATATCTACCTCCACTCACTTTAAAACTATGCCCTCTCGTAATAGCTACCTCCACCCTAGGAAAAAGTCTCTGGCTGTCCACTCTATCTATACCTCTGATCATTTTATACACCTCTATGAAGTCACCTCTCATCCTTCGTCATTCTAAAGAGAAAAGCCCTAGCTCTCTCAACCGTTCCGTGTAAGACCTTCCTTCCATTCCAGGCAACATCCTGGTAAATCTCCTCTGCACCTTTTCCAATGCTTCCACATCTTTCCTGTAATGAGGCGATCAGAACTGGACACATCAATACTCCAGATGCGGCCGAACCAGGCTTTTGTATAGCTGCAGCATCACCTCTACACCCTTATACTCCAGGCCTTTATATATAAAAACCAGCATTCCATTAGCTTTCTTGATTATTTCCTGTAGCTGTTTGCGACATTTTAAAGATTTATGGACCTGAACCCTCCAAGTCTCTTTGGACATCCTCTGTATTTAATTTCGTATCATCTAGAAAGATATGTGTGGAAAGTTCTTTACGCAGAGGCTGGTGGGTGCCTGGAACGCGTTGCCGACGGAGGTGGTGGAGGCGGGCACGATAGCGTCATTTAAGATGTATCTAGACAGATACATGAATGGGCAGGGAGCAGAGGGATACAGATCCTTGGAAAATGGGCGACAGGTTTAGATAGAGGATCTGGATCAGCGCAGGCTTGGAGGGCCGAAGGGCCTGTTCCTATGCTGTAATTTTCTTTGTTCTTTGTTCTATCTAGAAAGCACCCTGATCTATAATAAATATTTATAAATATTTTCACTCCTGCTTATATTGAACTCCATCTGTCACAGTTTTGCCCATTCACTTAGTCTATCAATATCCCTATGTAGGTTTATGCTATCATCTACACTGTCTACACTGTCACCTAATGTGTCATCAGCAAATTTCAATATATGACCTTTTTATGCCGTTATCTAAGTCATTAATAAATAAGGTGAACATTGAAGCCCTAACATAGCTCCCTATGGGACGCGAATTTGATCACCATTCCTGCTTCCTAACACCTATCACTCAACCAATTGCTCATAGCCATGTCAATAATTTTGCCCTCAATTTAGTCCTGTTAAACTCTGAAACAGTGTGGGTATCAGTTCAAAAAGCTATGTCCCAAATCCCTGCACACATCATCCTCCTTCCTTATTTAAAATTGGCCCCAATTCTGATAACAGTTCAAATTTAAAATTCTCATCTATGTTTACAATTCCTCAATTGTCTCATTTTCTGCCTTTTTCTGTCACCTCCACCAGTCTCTCACCTCTCCCTATCTCTGTAGCCTCCTTTGCAGTCCCTACACCCCGCCCTACCTCTGTAGGCACCTCCAGCCCCGACTCTCCTCACTTTCTCTGCAGCCACCTCTAGCCTCTACACCCTCTCTATCTCTATCACCACTTCAAGCCCTCACACCCCTCCCTATCTCTATAACCTCCTCTTACACCCAATGAACCCTCTGAGCTCTGCAATGTTCCAATTCTGGCCTTAAGGTCTTAAGGATTCTTAAGGGGCTTGACAGGGTAAATGCTGAGAGGATGTTCCCCCTCATGGGTCAGAGGGCATAGCCTCAGAATAAAGGGGCACCAATTTAAGACTGAGATGAAGAGGAATTTCTTCCCTCAAGTTTTTGGAACTCCTTGTCACAGAGAGCTGTAGGGGGGCAGAGTCCTTGTGTATATTTAAGGCTGAGATAGATAGATTCTTGATCAGTCGGGGAATCAAGGCTTATCAGGAAAAGGGGAGGAAAGTGGATATGAGGAATGCCGGATCAGTAATGATCCTATTGAATGGCAGAGCAGGCTTGAGGGGCCAAATGGCCTGCTCCTGTTTCTTTTCCTTATGCTCTATTATCTCTAACTATTACCTCTCAACTATCTCAAACTACCCCACTCTTGGAGGCCTGTATTTAGCTGCCTGGGCCCCAAGCTCTTCAACTCCCTCCTTAAGGCTCTCTCTCTCTCTCTGTCTCTCTCTCACCTCTACTAAGATGCTCCTTAAAATGTCTCTCCTTGACTGAGCTTTAGTTTGTCCCAGTTGCTCGGTGATGGTTGTTTGATTATGTTCTCGGGCAATAATTTAGTAATGTGGAAAGCGAGGTCCAATTGCTGTTTTGCTGTTGATGTGTCTGGGCTGGGGATCTTGGTTGTGCGAGAGGGACTGGGTGGTGGGGTATATTTCGAAGTGGGTGGTGGTGTTTGGTGATGATTAGGGTTATACTCACGTTGTGATGTTTGTCTCCATGAAGATCAGGATGAATAGCAGCAAGGCCGGAATCGCTGAGCCAAAGATCATCCATGTTGGGAAGTTTTGATCCTTCCCCATTGGGTGGATGAACCAGCCTCTCTTCTCTGGGGATGTGACGGAAAATTCCAGGGGCACGTTGAGTTTCTGTGGAGCAAGAGACAGGTCAGCGTCAGCAGAGCAAACCAGGCACAGTTCCCTCCCACTGCCTGGTCACCACAAATTGCCTTTCCATCCTGCCTGAACTCAATGTCATCCCTCTGCTTTGGCCCTCTCAACCCTTCCCTCCACCTCATCTTTACTTAGAATCTCTTATTTTATTCATTCATGGCTAGGCCAGGATTTATTGCCCATCCCTAATTGCCCATTGGGCAGTTAAGAGTCAACCACATTGCTGTGGGTCTGGAGTCACATGTAGGCCTGACCAGGTAAGGATGGCAGTTTCCTTCCCTAAAGGACATTAGTGAACCAGATGGGTTTTTCCCGACAATCAGCAATGGATTCACGGTCATCATTAGATTCTTAATTCCAGATTATTGTTGAATTCAAATTCCACCATCTACTGTGGCAGGATTTGAACTCAGGTCCCCAGAATGTTATCTGGGTCTCTGGATAATACCACTAGGCCATCGCCTCCCCTCATTGAAACCAATTGATTGGATTCAGAGTTGGTCATTGACAGCGTGAAAGTGTTCCACACACCTCCTGCCATTCTCCATCTTGGGACTTTCCTAACATCTCCTTGGCATGGCCTTGCTAATGATTTTATGTCTCCTCAGTTTTGATTTTGGGGAAGATGATGTTATCGAGGCAATGCGACTAGATTTGTAATCCAGAGGCCCATGTTAATGCTATGGGATCAGGGGTTCAAATCCCACCACGTCGCCTGGTGGAATTTAAATGCAATGGACAAAATCTGAAATGGAAAACAAGTAGAATTGTCATAAAAAACCCACCTGGTTCAGTAATGTCCTTTAGGGAGGGAAATCTGCTGTCCTTAACCGGTCTGGCCTACATGTGACTCCAGACCCACAGTGAAGTGGTTGACTCTTAAATGCCCTCTGGATTGATCCATTGAGCCACAGAGTTCAAGGGCAATTAGGGATTTAACATTCTTGCATCGGCCTTGGTAGGTACAAGATTTCAAAGCTTTGGAAATGTGCCTCTCCCTTCCCAAGTACTCCATTACACAGATGCTTCAAACACTTTGGTCACCATGACCCAGACAGTCAATCACAACCTCGGTGGGAAAGGCTACACAAACCCTGTCCAATTCTCAAGTGTCTTATCCCTCCTGTGATTGGTTGGGTGGAATGGAATAAGTTTGTTCTAAATATTGCTATGGCTCTATCATCAAATGCTGCCCCTCCAACTTTAATCCAACCTGAGCACACACACACACACGCACACACCCTCGCTCTCTCAGATGCACACACAAACTCTCACACACTCTCTCTTTCTCTCTCTCTCACACACACACACACACACACACACTCTCTCTCTCTCTCTCACACACACACACACACACACCCTTTCTCCCACAGACGCACACACACTCACACACACACACACACACACACACTCACACACACACACACACTCTCTCTCTCACACACACACACACACACACCCTTTCTCCCACAGACACACACACACACTCTCACACACACACTCTCTCTCTCTCTCTCACCCACACACACACACACACACACATACTCTCTCTGACACAGACACGCACACACTCACTCTCACACATACACACTCTTATACACCCTCTCTCTCTCTCACACACACACACAGAGTAAAATACACACACACACACACACACACACACACACACACACAGAGTAAAACGCGCAAACACAAATATACACATGGTGTGGTTAATAGCCACATATTTACCTCAGTGTATGTGTCTGTGACAGAGATATCCACAAGGACCATCACCAGGATTGCAATGGGAATCCCAAAGTCTCCGATGATGCGCCGGGCCTGAGCGAGGGTGAAGGAAATCACGTTAATTCTTGTGGTTGTGGTAGAGAACTTCATTTCTCCATAACATGGGAGTCCACAACAGGGAGGTGGAACTGATACATTCTACTGTCCCCTCTGTCAGAACCAGACTGCTTACTCCGAGATTCCTGCTTACTGCCTGTCCATGTGGGAAGACGATGGCCTGGTGGTACCGTCCCCAACTGTAATGCTAGGGCCTAATGAACTGAAGGACACAGTTTCAAATCCCATACCAGCAGCTGGGGATTTAAACTCAAGGAACCGAAATCTAGTGATCAGGAAATAGCACTGTACTGTTATTAATTACTGCAATGACGCAAGGAGGAAATCTGCTGTCCTTACCTCCATGTAACTCCAGGTCCATACAATGTGGTTGATCTTAACTGGCTCTTCGGTTTTAACTCGCAAAATGCCTCATTCAAGGGCAACTAATTCTGGCCATGCCAAAGATACCCAATAAAGGTCACCAGTTTGAGCCCTTGTAACTCTCTCTGTATCTTTCACAATACTCCTTAAAACTGATCTCTTTGAGCAAACCTTTCGCCATGTGATTCCTAATACCTCTTTCTGTTGCTGGGAGCATGTGCGGTGACAAGGGTCACTGTGCGAAGGGCTGGAGCACAAACTCTGTCCCCGTGCAGTATTAAAAAGACATCTCCATTGGTTGTGGGAGCGTTACAAACAGTAGCGTGAGAGAGTGATACAGACAATGTACAGAGAGATATTGATAGGTTCAGTCTGTGGGCAAAAGGTTGGGAAATGGCGTTTCATGTGAGAAAATGTGAAGTTGTTCATTTTAGAAGGGAGAAGAACAGAATATTATTGAAATGGAGAGAAACTGCAGAAAGCTGCAACACAAAGGTATTTGGGGGTCTTGTGCACAATACACAGAAAGTTAGCATATAGGGGGCAGCAGGGAATCAGGAAGGGTAATGGGATGTTGGCCCTTATTTCAAAGGGGTTGGAGTATAAAAGTAGGGAAGTCTTACAGCGACTATACAAGGTTCTGGGGAGATCACATCTGGAACACCGTGAGCAGTTTACACGTCCTTATTCAAGGAAAGATATAATTTCATTGGAGGCAGATCAGAGAAGGTTCACTCGGATGATCCCTGTTATGGAGGGATTGTCTTTTGAGCAAAAGCTAAATGGGTTGGGACCAGAGGACTTTGTCTGAGAATAAAGGGGCACCAATTTAAGACTGAGATGGGGAGGAATTCCTTCTCTCAGAGGGTTATGAGTCTTTGGAACTCCTTGCCAAGAGAGCTGTGGGGGGCAGAGTCCTTGTGTATGTTTAAGGCTGAGATAGATTGATTCTTGATCAAACGTAGAACATTATACACAGAAGAGTAGAGCACAGTACAGGCCCTTCGGCCCACAATGTTATGCTGACCTATTATCCTACTCTAAGATCAATCTACCCTGCATACCCTACATTTTACTATCCTCCATGTGCCTATCCAAGAGTCACTTAAATGTCCCTAAAGTATCTGACTCCACTACCACTGCTGGCAGCGCATTCCACACGCCCACCACTCTCTGTGTGAAGAACCTACCTCTGACGTCTCCCCTATACCTTCCTCCAATCACCTTAACATTTTGCCCCTCGTGACAGTCATTTCTGCCCTGTGGAAAACGTCTTTGACAATTCACTCTATCTATGTCTCTCATCATCTTGTACACCTCTATCAAGTCACATCTCATTCTTCTTTGCTCCAATGAGAAAAGCTCTAACTCCCTCAACCTTTCCTCATAAGACCTGCCCTCCAGTCCAGGCAGTATCCTGGTAAATCTCCTCTGCACTCTCTCTACAGCTTCCACATCCTTCCTATAATGAGGTGACCAGAACCGAACACAATATTCCAAGTGTGGTCTAACCAGGGTTTTATAGAGCTGCAGCATAACCTCACGGCTCTTAAACTCAGTTCCCCTGCCAATGAAAACCAACACACCATACGCCTTCTTTACAACCCTATCAACTTGGGTAGCCACTTTCAGGGATCTATGGATGTGGACCCCAAGGTCCTTCTGTTACTCCACACTGCCGAGAATCTTGCCATTAACCCTGTATCCTGCATTCAAATTCAACCTTCCAAAATGAATCACTTCACACTTTTCTGGGTTGAATTCCATCTGCCACTCCTTTGCCCAGCTCTGCATCCTGTCAATGTCCCGTTGCAACCTACAACAGCCCTCCACGCTGTCCACAACTCCACCATCGTTCGTGTCATCAGCAAACTTACTAACCCACCCTTCCACTTCCTCATCCAAGTCATTTATAAAGATCACAAAGAGTTGAGGTCCCAGAACATATCCCTGCATATGACCACCATTGGTCACCGAGCTCCAGGCTAAATACTTTCCATCTACTACCACCCTCTGTCTTCTATTGGACAGCCAATTCTGTATCCAGACAGCCACATTTCCCTGGATCCCATGCCTCCTTACTTTCTGAATGAGCCTACCATGGGGAACCTTATCAAACGTCTTGCTAAAATCTATATACACCACATCCACTGGTCTACCTTCATCAATGTGTTTTGTCACATCCTCAAAGAATTCAATAAGGCTTGTGAGGCCCTTCACAAAGCCATGCTGACTGTTTCTAATGCTTTTCCAAATAATCATAAATACTATCTCTCAGAACCCTCTCCAATAATTTGTCCACCACAGAAGTAAGACTGACTGGTCTGTAATTCCCAGGATCATCCATATTCTCTTTCTTGAACAAGGGAGTGACATTTGCACCCTCTAGTCATCTGGTACTACTCGAGTGGATAGTGAGGACGCAAAGATCATTGCTATAGGCACAGCAAACTCTTCCGTCGCTTCCCGTAGCAACCTTGGGTATATCCCGTCTGGCCCAGGGGACTTATCTATCCTCATGTTTTTCAAAATTTCTAGCACATCCGCCTTCCTAACATCAACCTGTTCGAGCATATCCACCTGTTTCATGCTGTCCTCACAAACATCAAGGTCCCTCTCCCTGGTGAATACTGAAGCAAAGTATACTGACTCAGTAGATAATCCCTCTTCGACAACCTCTCTTTCTGCAGCTGTGATACCATCCCTGGTTAGCAATGCCACTCCCCCACCTCTTTGACCTCCCTCCTTATTTCTTTTGAAACATCTAAACCTCGGAACATCCAACAACCATTCCTGCCCCTGTGTTATCCAAGTCTCCGTAATGGCCACAACATTGTAACTCCAAGTACTGATCCATGCTCTAAGATCGTCACCCTTATTAACTTCTTGCGTTAAAATAGACGCACCTTAACCAGTCGCACTGACTGCCTCTTTGCCCTATCAACTGTCTATCCTTCCTCACAGACTCTCTGCTTGCTCTATCTGCCTGTACACCAGCTACCCCATTCTCTGACCTGTAGCTCCGGTTCCCATCCCCCTGCCAAACTAGTTTCAACCCTCCCGAAGAGCTCTAGCAAACCTCCCACCCAGGATATTGGTGCCCCTCCAGTTCAGGTGCCACCCATCCTTCTCGTACAGGTCTCACCTTCCCCAGAAGGTATCCCCCTGATCCACAAACCTGAAGCCCTCCCTTCTACACCCGCTTTATAGCCACGTGTTCAGCTGCGCTCTCTCTCTCTGTTTCTGGCCTCACTAGCCCCTGGCACCGGTAGTAATCCTGAGATTACTACTCTGCTCATCCTGGCTTTTAGCTTCCATCCTAACTCCCTATATTCACTTTTCAGGTCCTCATCCCGTTTCCTAGCTATGTCATTGGTACTGATGTGTGCCATGTCTTCTGGCTGCTCTCCCTCCCCCTTAAGAATCCTGAAGACTCGATTCGAGACATCCCTGACCCTGGCACCCGGGAGGCAACATTCCATCCGGGAGTCTCGCTCGGTACCACAGAATCTCCTGTCTGTCCCCCGAACCACTGAATCTCTATCACTATCACTCTCCTATTCTTCCCCATTCCTTCCTGAGCCACAGAGCCAGGCTCAGTGCCAGACACCTGGCCGCTTTGGCCTTCCCCTGGTAGGTCCCCCCCACCCCAACAGTATCCAAAGTGGTATACTTATTATTGAGGGGAATGGCCATTAGGGATCCCTGCACTGTCTGCCTATTCCCTTTCCCCTTCCTGACAGTCACTCATACCTTTGTCCTGTACCTTGAGTGTGACCACCTCCTTATGACTTCTCTCTATCACCCCCTCAGCCTCCCGAATGATCCGGAGTTCATCCAGCTCCAGCCCCAGTTCCCTAACACGGTTTGTGAGGAGCTGGAGTTGGGTGCACTTCTCGCAGGTGAAGTCAGAGGGGACACCAGCAGTGACCCTTACCTCCCACATCTTCAAGAGGACCACGCAAGCTTCCATTCCGTCTACTCTAGATTGCCAAAAGAGATAAAGAGAAGGAAATAAAAATAGCTTACCTTACCAACCCTCCACACAGAATTTTTTTTTTGGTTAGAGGAGGAGGATGTGTGGGAGACACTACACGTATAGTGTTTCGGGTTTAGCCAATGCCCCGAATATATTAGTTCACTTACCCAGCAGTCCCTGTGTCCGCGTTTGCTCCTGATCAGCCTTTGCTCCGTCTATTCACGAGGCAAGTATTTTATACTCAAACTTACCTTCCCGGCTTCCCCCGGCACGTGCTCTCACCACTCTCGCTGCTCAATTAAGGGGAATTTCCCCAATCACTTGGGGAATTAAGTGTTATGGGGAAAGGGGAGGAAACTGGATGTGAGGAGTGTTATTGATTGATAGAGTAGGCTTGAAAGGCTCAATGGCCTACAACTCTTGTTCCTATTTCTTGTGATCTTTCTTTATCAGTCTGGAGTCATGTGTAGGCCAGCTGAGTAAGGATGGCAGATTCCCTTCCCTAAAGGGCATCAGTGAACCCAATTTACCCCAATGCAGTAGCTTCTAGGTCACCATTCCACATACTCACTTTCCCTCCTAGAAATCGGCTGTTCCGGAATTTTCTCATGAAATACGCAATGAAGAATGTGCCAACCATCATGACAAGGGAAAGCAGGGCAGTGTTGGGTTGCATCTGCTGGTCACTTTGTATTAACTGGTGACTAAGATTGGTGTTGACCTGAGGGATGGGTGGATATGTCTTCAGGAGAGGGTTCTCCTCAAAGACCTGGAGATGGGAAGGAAAACGTCAGCGTTACACAACACATATAGATGGTACAATCACTTATTCTTGCAGAAGGAGACCATTCAGCCCTTTGTGCCTGCGCTGACCCTGCTTTGAAGGAGATACCATTCTGGTCCTCTTTCCCTTAGGCCTGCAAGCTTTAGAAGTATTCACCCAATTCTGAATCCAATTCCAACGGGTTTCTGTAATTCTCACCTCTCTCTTCCCAGGTTGCTGTTTATTACAGAGCTGCTGCTGAGGATATCAGAGCGATCCTAAAAATACACGTTCACAAAAGGTACACGAAACCCTGATTAGAGCCCGTTTGGAGTTCTGTGGGCAAATCCGGGCACCATACCTTAGGAAGGACAGATTGGCCTTGGAGGGAGCACAGCACACCTTTACAAGGATGGCACCTGGAGGTCAGGGGATAAGTTATAATGAGGGATTAAACAAAATAGGTCTGTTTACCCTGGAATTTAGAAGGTTAGGGAGTGATCTGATTGAAGTCTTCAAGATATTAACAGGAAAAGACAGGGTTGATAAAGAGAAACTACTTCCACTGGTTGAAGATTCTAGAACTGGGGCATAGTCTCAGAATTACAGTCAGACCTTTCAGGAGAGACAATGTGGAGGTGCCGGCATTGGACTGGGGTGGACAAGATCAGAAATCACGCGACACCAGGTTATAGTCTAATAGGCTTATTTGAAATTACAAGCTTTCGAAGTGTGGCCCCTTCATCAGGTGAAGTGATTTCAGATAAACCTGTTGGGACTATAACCTGGTGACGTGTGACTTCTGACTGTTCAGGAGCGATGTTAGGAAGCACTTCTACACACAATGGGTGGTAGAGGCTTGGAACTCTCTTCCACAAATGGCAGTGGACGCTGGATCAGATGTTAATTTCAAATTTGAGACTTTTTTTTGTTAGGCAAAAGTATTAAAGATACAGCCGTAAGGGAAGTACATAGAGCTAGGCTGCAGATCAGCCATGACCTCATTGAACGGTTGAACAGGCTCAAGGGGCTGAAGGCCTGCTCCTGTTCCTATGTTACAAAGTCAGCCACAAATCTCATAGCAGGCTGTTCGGCCCTTTGTTCTTGTGCTGGCTCCTTGAAAGATTTATCCAATTAGTCCCACCCCACTGAAACAGCTTTCCAACAGGTATGTGACATCACTGTGATGATGGTACAGCACCAGGCACTAAAGAGATCTGGGCAAATAATCCCAGAGATAGAGGTCTGAATCCTAACAGTGAAGTTGTGGAACTTGAATTCTTTATTTAGATACACAGGGAAAGAAAAGCCAGTCTCAATAATAGACATCACAAAACCACTGGATTGTTGTAAAAACCCCTCTGATACACTAACGTCCCTCAGGGAAGGAAATCCGCTGCCCTTACCTGGCCTGGGCCTACGTGTGACTCCAGACCCACAGCAATGAGACTAATCAGAAATGGCCTAACAAGCCTCTCAAACAAAAAGAAAAAAGCTGCAGGTGCAAAAATTGAAGACAAAATCAGAAATTGCTGGAAAAGCTCAGTAGGTTAAGCAGCATCTGTGGACAGAAAGCAAAGTTAACATTTTGGGTGACCCTACTTCAGAACTTCAAGGCCTCTCAGTTGTATTTATAAAAGCGTCTCACCACCACCTTTTTAAGGACAATAGGGAACAGCCTATGAACCAATCTTAGCCAGCCATGCTCACAGCCCATGAATGATTTTTCAAGAAACAAAATTCCTTATCTACTCTTCATAATTTCAAACATCTGCGTCAAATGTCCCCTTAGCACTTTCTGATTTGAGAACAATCCCAGACTCATAAGATAAATATTGTTCAAGAGGAAAGATTCATTTTGTCAAAACCTTTGGCCTTGCGCTCATCAGCATAACGTGCAAGAACAACAATGTAAAGGAAAAGTAACATTTATATTGTGGAAGAAGAGGGTGCTGATTGGTTGGGAAGTGGACTCTTGATAGTAGAGGCATTGCCATGGAGAATGCTACAGCTAAAGACGACTGACAGATAACTGCCAAGCTTTTTAGAAATTTTAAACTAGAGAGTTTGATTCTGATTGGCCGAGGAATTGTTCTGAGAAGTGAACCAGAGAATGGTTATTACCTATTCTATTATGTTGGAATAGGTATTGTGTGTGTACATGTCCTTTTTATCTGACAACCAATTTTGTACAGTCTGTCAGATTCACAACATTGTGCACTTACATATACTGGGTTCAATTCTTTTCAGAACCAATCAAAGTTACCCGCCTGGTTTAAAATGTAAACAAAACTTGGCAGTTAACTGACAGTCATCATTAATTGGTGCATTCTCCATTGCAATGACTCTTTCAATCAGATTCAGCACTCTCCTTTCATAGAATAAAAACCCTGTTTTCCCTTTCCTCTGGTATTCAAGTACTGTATTAATAAACAATTATTCCCTAAATTCCTCACATACATCCCTCATCCGCAGCATCATTCTGATCAATCTCCTTTGCACCACTTTCAAGGCTCTGATGTCCTTGTGAAAGTGCAGAGCCCAAAATCAGAGAAAATATCTCAGCCAAGGTGTCTAATTGGCTGTTTGACACAGGCTTGACCTGACTAGAGTTGGCACTTACCTCATAAAGATTGTGGAAGGTTTCGTAGATGAAGATGATGGAGATGAGAAAGGCAAAGATCTCCTGGGTGAAAGGTGAGATGTAGCGCACCAGTAAGCTGCCCTCAAAGGCCACTGTGATGATCACAATGACCATGAGCCAGAAGCCAATCCACACACGACCTGTGAGGTAGTCCACATTCTGGGTCTTGCTGAACTGGCGATGTGGGAGGAGCAGGGGAGGGGTGATGGTAGTGAGGAGATGGGGAACAAAAGGGAGAGATAGGTTATCCATGAAGCTGTAAGATGTTCACCACAGCTCCTCTGAAAACAGAACGATGCAAATGTAGGTTCATTCCAAACACACTGTGGAGGCCATGTTCTGTGAAGGATTGTCCTATTGTCCACCTAGCTCTTCTGGAAAATGATGATGGGTGGGAGCTGAAAGGATTTAACTGTGAGGATGGGTTGCACAGATGTGGCTTCTAGACTCTTGAGATGTGGAGATTACTGATATTTTTAATCAATCTGTTCAAAGATGTTACTACTTGGATCCTGGCTATTAGGAAACAATACTACCACTGCCCCACAAGAGTCCCTCCCCAAACTCTCTCCCCCATGTTTGGAGATTATATGGTAATTTAATGTAGGCATTTAAGATGATTAAAGGATGTGATAGCACAGAGAATTGACGTTCTCTGGTGGGGTGACTCCAAAACGATGGTGGAAGCAGAGGGTGATGGTTGAAGGTTGTTTCTCGGACTGGAGGCCTGTGACTAATGGTGTGCCACAGGGGTTGGTGCTGGGACCTTTGTTATTTGTTATTTACATAAATGATCTGGATGTGAATGTCCAAGGCATGATTAGTAAGTTTTCGGGTGATGCAATATTAGGAGGCACATTGATAGCGAGAAAGGTTATTAAAAATTACAGAGGGATCTTGATCAGATGGGGAAGTGGGCTGTGGATTGGCAAATGCAATTCAATACAGATAAGTGTGAGGTATTGCACTTTGGAAAGTCAAACCAAGGTAGGACTTATACAGTAAATGGTAAGATCCTGAGGAGTGTTGTGGAACAGAGGGACCTAGGGGTATAAGTATATAGTTCATTGAAAGTGGCGTCACAGATAGACAGGGTGGTGAAGAAGGCATTTAGCATGCTGGCCTTCATCAGCTGAAGCATTGAGTATAGGAGTTGGGACGTTATGTTACAGTTGTATAAGTCATTGGTGAGGCCGCACTTGGAGTATTGTGTACAGTTTTGGTCACCCTGTTATAGGAAAAACATAGTTAAACTGGAAAATGTGCAAAGGAGATTTATGAGGATGTTGCCAGGACTAGTAGGCCTGAGTTATAGGGAGCGGTTGGCCAGGATGGGACTTTATTCCTTGTAACGTGAGGAGAATGAGGGGTGACCTTATTGAGGTGTATACAATCATGAGGGGCATAGGTAAGATGAGTGCATATAGTCTTTTTCCCAGGGATGGGGAATTGAAAACTAGAGGGCACAGGTTTAAGGTGAGAGGAGAAAGATTTAAGGACCCGAGAGGCAACTTCTTCACACAGAGAGTGGTGCATACATGGATGTGCTGCCAGAGAAAATGGTGAAGCAGGTACATTAGCAACATTTAAAAAACATTTGGATAGGTTCATGGATGAGAAGGGTTTAGAGGGATATGGACCAAATGTGGGCCATTTCGAACTAGCTGAGTGGGCACCATAGTCAGCATGGACCAGGTTAGGCCAAAGGGCCTGTTTCCATGCTGTATCACTCTATGACTCTAAAACAAGGAGGCAGACCCTTAAACCTTGAACCAGGACAATCAGGTCAGTGTCAGAAACCAAGGGATGGACAATATCCAGATTTGGGCAGACAAGTGGCAAGTAACATTCACTCAATGTATATATTATATATAAACACATATATATATCAGGCACTGGTTATCTCCAATAAGGAGATAAGGGATAATATGACAGCTCGGTGGCTCAGTGGTTAGCACTGCTACCTTACAGCGCCAGGGACCCAGGATCAATTCCAACCTCAGATAACTGTTTGTGTGGAGTTTGCACATTCTCCCTGTGTCTGTGTGGATTTCCTTCGGGTGCTCCAGTTTCCTCCCACAGTCCAAAGATGTGCAGGTTAGGTGGATTGTGTATGGGAAATGCAGGGTTACAGGGATAGGGTAGGGGGGTGGGTCTGGTTGGCACACTTTTCAGAGGGTTGGTGTAGGCTCAATGGGCTGACTGGCCTATTTCCATACTGCAGGGATTCTATGAAATAAGAGAATCGAACCATCACCACTTGACATTCAATCATCACTGAATCCCACTATCATTGACCAGAAACTCAAACAGACTATCCATGTAAACACAGTGGTTACAAGAGCAGGTCAGAGGCTAGGAATACTATGGCAGGCAAGTCACCTCCTGACCCCTCAAAGCCTGTCTGCCATCTACAAGGCACAAGTCAGGAATGTGATGGAATACTCCCCACTTGTCTGGATGGGTGCAGCCCCATAAAAACTCAAGAAGCTTGTCACCATCCAGGACAAAGCAGCCCCCGCTTGATTGGCAACACATCCACAAACATCCACTCCCTCCACCACCGACACTAGTAGCAGCAGTGTGTACTATCTACAAGATGCACTGTGGAAATTCACCAAAGATCCTCAGACAGCACCTTCCAAACCCACCACCACTTCCCTCTAGAAGGACAAGGGCAGCAGATACATGGGAACACCACCCCCTGCAAGTTCCCCTCCAAGCCCCTCACCATCCTGACTTGGAAATATATCGTCGTTCCTTCACTGTCGCTGGGTCAACCTATAGCACATGGACTGCAGTGTTTCATGAAAGCAGCTCACCACCAGCTTCTCAAGGGATTGGTCATAAATGCTAAACCAGCCAGTGATATCCACTTCCTGCGAATGAATTAACAAAAGGAACATTCTTCACACAAGGGGGAGTGGAAATATGGAACTCTCTTTTCCCAAAACACTTGTTGTAACAGTGAATTGACCATTTCAAGATGGAGATTGTTAGAGGACATTAAGGCTTTAAGAACCGGTGAGGTGCTCAGCCATGATCTAACTAGCTGAATGGACTGAATGGCCCCCTCTTGTTCATGCTACTTTTTTTTAAATTCATTCATAGGATGTGAGCAGCACTGGCTAGGATCAGCATTTATTGCTCATCCCTAATTGCCAAGAGGGGCATTTAACAGCTAACCATATTGCTGTTGGCCTGGATTCACAGCTAGGATAGAAGTTTCCTTCCCTAAAGGACATTAGTGAACCAGATGGCTTTTTCTCCTCTGACAATTAACATCAGTTTCTTGATCATCATTAGATTCTTAATTCCAGACGTTTGACTGAATTCAATTTCCACAATCTGCTGTGGCAGGATTCAAACCCCAGTCCCCAGAACACTACCTGGGTCTCAGAATTAATAGCGTAGTGATAATACCACAAGGTCATTGCTCCCCAAACCGCTCAGCTGATTGTTGTATTGAGAGAAGATTGGGTCCAAACTGAAGTAGGGAGATAATGGCATCATGGGAATGTTACTGGACTAGCAATCAAGAGGCCCAGACTAATGCCCTGGGGATATGGGTTCAGATCACACTGTGACAACTGATGTGAAATAACTCTACAGAGGCTGGTATCCCATCACCAAGTCACCCTTTCTTTACGCTTAGCGGGTCCTTGTCACTGATCCAGCTCCCTCAGAGCCTGCTCTCAGAGTGAGCAGAGCCTCTGACACTCCTGTTTATATCTGTCAGCCAGGGCTCCCTGATTGGATCAGATTAACAGCCCCCAATCAGGGAAACCATATTCTATGGGCTCCACCTGGCTGACCTTGTTACAGCCACTACAGGGGGAGAGCAGTCAGTTTATATGTGACCTCTCAGTCCCTCAGAAAGATGGCCGATAACCTCAAACGTTCAATCCATTTCGAACAGTTTAAAATTCAACTAAATAAAACCTGGGGCTTGTCTCAGTACTAACGCAGAGCAGCCATCATAGGTTATTGTAAAAAACCCATCTGGTTCACTAATGACAACAAGGTGCAGGGCTGGATGAACACAGCAGGCCAAGCAGCATCATAGGAGCAGAGAGGCTGACGTTTCGGGCCTAGACCCTTCATCAGAAAAGGGGGAGGGGAAGGGGGTTTTGAAATAAATAGGGAGAGAGTGGGAGGCGGATAGAAGAGGGATAGAGGAGAGGATAGGTGGAGAGGAAACAAACAGGTCGAAGAGGCGGGGATGGGGCCAGGAAAGGTGAGTGTAGGTAGGGAGTTAGGAAGGGGATAGGTCAGTCCAG